CCATCCTCTAAGCACATAGTTGCCTCTAGCCACACTTAATCCTGGGTGCAGGCTGGGAAGCACTCATAGTGGAAGGGCACAGGTAGGATTCAGGAGCAGAGCTGGAGTGTTGGAGTTGCATCAGAAACACATTCAGAATAAGAACCCACGCACTCTCATAGAGCAGTGGATAATTAATAAGGAAAGTCATATACCCCACCCTTGGCAATATGGGTAATAAAAACTAACATTACTGAACTTGTTTTTGTAGCTCTTGAAAGGCTAGCTAATGAATGGTCTCATTTGTTTCCGCAATAACCCAGGGAGGCAAACGATGCTGTTAAGACCCACCTAACAGATGAAGGAGCGATGCCTCAGGAGCTCTAATTGCCTTGCCCCAAATAACACAGCCAGAGGACAGCAGACTTTCTGAGAGAATTTTTCTTCTGGTGACAGCGTAAGGTCTTTACCTTAGGGACAACTCCGTGGTTTTGTGTTAAAATGACACTCTTCACTGTAGTGCTGTTCATGATACGGATTTGGGGGATAAAGCTATCTGTGCAACAGTGAATCATCAATTGTGATTGAGCCAAAAATCCGGAGATGCTGAGATCTGAGTCAATGAAAAGACAGCTTACACAAGGGTACTGGTGTTGAGGTCAGGGAGCTTTCTGCGTAAAGGGCAACATAGTAAAATTTTTAGGCATTCCAGATCCTACCATCTCTACAATAACTTTTCAACTCCGACGTGACAGTCTTAAAAAGAGCCTTAGACTCAATGATTAGGTATGCTGTTTGACAATAAAACTTTATTTGTGAAGTAGGTGGAGAGCCAGACTTAGCTTCCAGGTGGTATTTTGTACTGACCCCTGTTGTGGAGATTCCTTTACTGAGTCTAGCTAGGGATTGCTATTTTGGACACTAGATGGTGCCCTTTCATTAGTAAGGTGAGAAGGAAAGCAGGTAGGGAGGAATGAATTGTGACAGGAATTACTGTAAAAGATTGGGACCAGAGAAAATAGTTTGACGATCATTCAAATGGCAGAATGTGAGCCTTCCCATCACACACACACACACACACACACACACACACACACACACACACACAATATCTACTGTTTTCTAGGCACAGACATGGCTATGGGCTGGTTACAATAAGCTCTGAGGAAAAAAAATAAAAAGAACAATATTCCAACACCTCTCTCCCTGATTTATATCATGTGATAATTTCTTTTTTATTTATTTTTATTTACATGAGTAAGGGTGTGTGTGTGTTTGTGTGTGTGTGTGTGTGTGTATACGTGTGTTCATGTGTGCAGAAGCCAGAGAAGGACATTAGATCCCTTGGAGCTGGAGTTACCTGTTGTGACTCCTCAGGTATGTGTTCCTAGAACTGAACTTGGATCCTCTAGAAGAGTAGCCATCTTTCTGAACCATTGAGCCCTCTCTCTAGCCCTGACTTTTGCTGGTTTCTGGAGTGAAGTGCTTACTCGTAGCTGATTTCAAGCTCTTAACTTGCCATCAGTCTGTTGGCCAAGCTGCTAACACTGACTAATGGAGCACTATGAGCAGAGAGAAGCCAGCTTCAACACATGGCTAGCTCAAGGTCTTTTGTTTTAATTATTTTAGCATCCACCTGGCAAGGCAGGCAGAAAACAAGAAGGATTACCATTTATTGAGGAGTTGTGATCTGCAGACCATCTGTGGAGTGTTTTAAGCATATCACTACTTGCTGGAGACTTCACAGCTCCATAGGTACAGCTCTCAGATAACACTCTGCAGATCGAGACTGAGAGAATTCCAGTTAACTGATCATGGTGGTATCACCAGGATCCAGCTCACACTGTGCTGCCTCTGCCTTGGTTGAAGAGGGTGTGAGGTATTCACATCTCTGGTTTAAAAGAATATGCATTTATTTATTTTGTGTTTCATGTCTGAAAGTCAGAGACCAACTTGCAGTGAGTCGGTTCTCTCCTCTCATCTTGGTTTGAACTCAAGTTCGCCACACTTGGCAGCAAGCACTTTACCCACTGAGCCACCTCACCAATTGATTAGCTTTGTTTTATAGTTAAAGAGACAGATTCAAAAATAATGATTTTTACTTCATGATTAGACAGGTGGGTGTTATTGTGAATGAATGGATGCCAGTTTTATTTCTGTCTGAATTTAGTGTCTGTGACTTTTTCAAAAGATCAAAGAGTTAGACAATGTGTTCAACTAGTTGTTTCCAGAGAAGTTGTGTTAAGGGGAAATTTGGAGGCAGAGAGAAGCCCAGATGGAGGGAGGAGAGAGAGATACACCTATTACTTTTAGATTTATTTAATTTTATTTCTATATATTTCGGTGTTTTCCTTGCACGTATATCTGTGCACCACATGTATGCCTGGTACTGGTGGAGACCAGAAGAAGACATTGGAATCCCTGAAACTGGAGTTACAGATGGTTGTGAGCAGGTGATCACACCCAGGTCTTTTAGATGAGCAGCCAGTGCTCTTAGCCTGAATCATCTCTCCAGCACTGAGGTAAGGTGTGAATTGAAGTCAATTCAAACACAAAGGGTCATAAAGGAAGTGATTTGGAGGGTTGTGAATAGGTTTTGTTTTGCTTTGTTTGTTTCTTTGATTCAGAAAGGGGAAATGGAAATGGTGGTGGGAAATGAGAGCGACCAGGTGGAGAGGAGTCTGGATTTCAAATGCGGAATGACAGCACCTCTCGTTCTCTTCAGAAGAGTAGAAGCTGCACTCTCAAAGAGAATGATGGGAAAGTGCTAATGATTCACCCACATCTGTTTGATTCCTACTGGGATGTGAGATTTCCAGGCTCCTCAGGGTGCTGTTTAGAAGGGAAGGAACGAACGGTGGGCTTCGAATATGAAATGTGGATTATAGCTCTAGGTCTGCCCAATTGTGACAGCACAACCTTAGGCATTCCACTAATTTCCCTGAGAGTCTCATCTGTAAAACCTAGCTAATGGTCTCTGCCATATAGATATAATAAATGGAGTAATTGATATTAGAGCATCTGGCCCAGTGCCTGGCACACAGCTGGATCTCGAGCAGCTTTGCTCTTCCATCTTTGGGGAGACTTCTGTAGTGTGTTTGCAATAGAGTAACATGTCAGGAATGCTGACCTAGGACACGGCTGTCCAGCTTCTGCTCTGCTTGGTTCTCTAGTAATGGCTTGGTGGGCCACAAACTTTGACTAGAAATGAAGTCAGTCTTTACTGTTCAATAAACGAGCGTGGTTAGAAGCTTAAGAAATCATGCCAGTCATGCGTGTATACTTGCCCCTTATGAACACAGATACTGGAAAAGCTGACCTCACAGCCACATAGGAGTAATTCTGTTGTTGGTTGGCAATGCAAAGGAATTTGTTTAGAATTGCTCAGGTTTCCCTTAATTGTCCACCATGGTGAGATCATCTAGGACCTCGTTTATCTGGAAATGGGTTGCCTAGCAACTTCAGTAAATAAAACGAATTTCCCTCCACCAACGCAGCAAAAATGGATATCATCACATTTGTGTACCTCAATGGATCAATCATTTACTTAAGCAACAGGACCCCAGCTCTTCAATCTTATGTCTTAGCTCTTCAGTGTCTTATGTCTGACGTTGAGTATAATTTTGATGAGAATAAATTTCTAACCCAGAGATCAGAAGAAATAAGTTAGAAGGGATGGTAGGCCTATTTTCCTGTAACAAAAGCATTAGGGAGCATCGAGATGTATCTCTGGAATGCTGGGTGGTCTGAAAGGTGACAAAGTAATTTCAGAAGCAGTTGGAGGTCTTTAGTGTAAGTGCAGAACATCCTCCAAACCTTATTGGAATTATACTGCTGTCTATGATCACATCCATTTGTGACTACAGCAAGCTCATTCAAGTTACCCAACAAGTTTCTAATGGAGCTTAAGCAGATAGATCACTGGTCAATTCATCTTAGTAATATTTTTCTTCTATATGCTTTATTATTTCTGGTTATTTTTGAATGCAATATGTCCTGTCGTAGAAAGTAGATGAGATGAAAAGATTCTTTTCCTAGTGGTGCTGTAGTTTGAGGCCATTAAAGTAACACATTCAGTTTGTTTTGATTGTCTGCACAAGACGACAGCCTCTTTTTTTTTTTTTTTTTTTTAAAAAAATATTGCTCGGAAACATTTTTTTCTCTTTCCTTGGTTTGATGCACAAATTCATTTCCACTATCTCTTTAGCACTCAGGAATCCGTGGACTTTGATTCAAAACCCTGACAGGCTCCATTGTTACAGACTTAGATAGAAAGCCTTTCCAAATCTATTCTCATTAATAGGACATTCCATCTATGCATGCAGCTCCTGCCACTCCCTAAGTATGTGTTAGTTTCTGTGGTGTGAATGCGAAAAGTCGCAGATGGTGGCAGTGTTTTGGAAGGATGTGACTCCTTTAGGAGGTGGGACCTACTGAGAGGAAATGGGTCAATGGGGGTGCATCTCAACCCCCAGTTCCAGGCTGAACCCTTTGCTTCAGGGTCTGCTGAGATGTAAAAAAGGGGCATGAATTCTGCCACATCTTCACTTCCATGACAGATTGTATTCCTCAAACCATGAGTCAAAACAAGTCAATCCTCCCTTAGGTTACTTCTTATCAAGAATTTAGTGATAGCAATGGTAAAAAACATCTAATAAGAACAAAGACACTAAGAAGGGTAATTACTGTGATAAATATGACCAGGTGAGCTAAGCCTTTTGCAGAAGAGTTTTTAAATTTGGACTAGAGAAGCCTTACAGCAGCATAAGCAGGGTCTGGAGAGTCATTCTAATGATGACAGCAGCAGAAAGGTGGGCAGAAAGGTCAGGCTGGTGGGGTTCCAGAGAAATATATGAACTCTAATAGGAATTGGGCTAGGAGTCATTCATAATTACTTTGTGGAAAAGCATCTGGCTACATTTGTCCTTAGAACTCGAGTGAGGTTGAGTCAAAAAGTAATGGACGAACGTTTTTAGGTGGGAGAAATTTCAAGACAGCATATTATTTGGGTAGTGGCATGGTTACTGCTCATTGCGTTTATCCAGGTTTACATAAACTGGAACAGAAGGAGGTAGAAAGTGTACAGTTTGGTAAAGAGAGCAGTGGGTTACACTGAGGGACAAAGCAACTGTGAACAAAGCTGTCTGAATTGTTGAAGATATTTGTAAGGTTGAAGACAATAGCATAAAGTAAACATCCCCACTCCCATTCCTAAGAAATATGGGAACAGGAGGATAACAAGGAAAACTGGACCAATGCCAAGTCTGAAGACCAGTAAGTCAAACACTAAATCCTATAGCCTCCCATCACACCCTGGGGCTCATAGTGGCATTATCTTGGCATTATTCAACAGGCTTGTATATTCTCATCCCTGTAGCTTTACTGCCTGTAGGATTTGTGAACTTTCTCTTGGGTCAGTTTCACTCTACACCTGCAGCTTCTCCCAGCATTGACATGGGATTCTCCTCTGTATGCTGTGAATACTATTGGTTAATAAAGAAACTGTCTTAGGCCTGTGATAAGGTAGAGTAGAGCTAGGCAGGGAAGACTAAACTGAATGCTGGAAGAAAGGAGGTGGAGTCAAGGAGAAGCCATGGAGCTACCACTGGAAACAGATATGCTAGAACCTTGCCAGTAGGCCACGAGCCTCATGGTAAGATATAAAATAATGGAAATAGGTTAAATTAAGATGTAAAAGCAAGTCAATAAGAAGTTAGAACTAATAGGCCAAGCAGTGACTTAATTAATACAGTTTCTGTGTGATTATTTCTGGAGTCTGGGCAACCAGGAAACAAGTAGCCTCTTACAACACGGCATCTTTAATACCCTGGGGCCTACATTGCAACTTAGGCCTTAGCTTCACTCATACATGGTGTCATCAGGAACTCCATGCTACCCATTGCTTGGTCTAATTGATTTACTCTTCTGCAGCCCTTGCACAAACCTCTAAGACCCCACAGCTATTGCGTTCTGTGTGCCTACAAAGTCAGCATCCCATGACTGATACTGTCAAGTACCATACTGAAGTATATGTTCCCATATACCTTTTACCATAGCCACAGCAGTCTCTGTGTTCCTTAGTGGTTGGACCCAAACACACTTCCCTGAGAGATTATGTTCAAGCAGAGGACCCCTGGGTCAGATGTTTCTATGCTTGCACTCTGTTTTCTAATGAATTTGCATTTTGATACCATAAAACCTTTTGACAGCTGGGGTCTTGCTCTTAGAGTTTCAATTTTCCTTGTTATCCTCCTGTTCCCATATTTCTTAGGAATGGGAGTGGGAATGTTTACTTTATGCTATTGTGTACCAGAAGTATGTAACTTGTTTATATATTTATAGGGTTCCATAGTTAAGAGTTTGTTTGAGTCTTAGAAGAGACTTTGGACTTTGTGCTTTTAAATGGCATTGAAACTGTAAGACTTCAAGGAACACACTGGGTGGGGTGCCATGTTGCATTACAAGATGGACATGACCCTATGGGAGCTAGGGGTGGAATGTATTCAATTGAGTGTGACATACTCCCACTGGATCATGTGTTGGAGCAGTTGGTCTCCAGAAGAGAGGCAATTGTGGGACCTTTAAGAGGAAGAGGCTACCTGGAGGAAGTGGGTCATTAGTGTGGGTCGTATGGGTTATAGCCGGACTGTAGTTCCATTCTAATCTCTGTAGATAAGTAGCCTCCTTGTCTGCTGCCATAGCTCCAAGGCACCATGAACTCAGCCATCCTTTCTCTACCGTGATGAGCTTGTACCTTTTCAGACTGTGCATCAAAAACAAGTCCTACCTCCATTAACTTGATTCTTATGAGGTATTTAGTCACGTCAATGAGAAAAGCAATTAATAAGATACACCAAAACTTTGACTTGTTCATCAGTCCTCCCTAAAACACCTTTTGACAATCTTCCATTCCCCTCTGCTTTGGATGCCACATTTTATATGAAAAAAAATCATGATCATTATGATTCAAGTTTTAAAAAGTAACAAAACTTTCCAACCCAAACACCATATCTCATGCACATCTGTACTTTTGGAACTCATGAGAGCATCTGTGACTACCGTGTTCCTGTGTGTGTGCTACTCCCTTCAAGAGAAATGCTGCAGGCTGCCTGGAGGACTCTTGCTGTTTTACTTGTAGGTTTTCTGTGGATGGAACTCGGGTCAAGGTCAAGTTTCTCCCAGAATTTATGGCTCAAGACTATCCCTTAGCTGGGTTCTCTTCACTAGCTGCTGGACACCTTCTCAGCACTGAGCTATGCGCTGGACTCTCTCATCCTTGTCTCCTCTCCCTGGTGTGAGTCTCTCACCCATGCCTCTGACTGAGAGCTCTCATTGCTTGATCTTGTTTCATCCACTAGTCATTGGCATTTATTTCAATGGTATTTTGCTATATCGTTCTATTTTGGTGTCTGCATCTCAGACGCCTCAGACTCACCCAGAAGTTGCTGCCTGCATGGTGGGTGACAAACATGTCAGTTAAATTGAGTTTCTGGCGGTTAGATCGATCGCTAGATCTGGTCTTCAGAAGAAAGGTTTTTGTTTTTTTTTTCAGTGTGGAGTTTCCATAGTCATCATGGTACACGGAACAATACCCATATGCCTCTTAAACAAGGAATGTCTTTGGTGACGTGGGATTACCACTATATACTATGGAAGGGAGCCAACTGCTGATCTCAGAATCTACTATTTACCACTCCAGCTATCCTCACTGAGTTGCTGTAGCTATTTTAATTCTCTGTCTTTGATGTCAGTGTGTTTCAGTACTAGACCTAGCAGGGATTTCCAAGATCACTCCTTGGAAGATCTTTGGAGCACATAGCTACCCAGCACTGGTTGATGCTTGGGTTCAGAGTTAGATCGGTGTGTTTTTGCTCAAGGTGAGAGCAGTTCTAGCTTATTTTACAGAGGACAAACTGATTTGGTAACATCCTCAGCAGAGCTATTATGAAAAAGAAAATACAGGAAGCTAACCAGAATGACAGCGAAGGATTTCTTCAGAATAGTCAGGTGTGGATCCAACCCAAGTCTTTATCACACCTTCTGGGTCCCCTGTCTGAGCTGTCACAGACACCAAGATTTCTGCAACTAATCAACACAACACATGGGAAAAGATTAGGTGTTTTTTTTTTTTTTATGAGCTGACTCACTCAATAGGGACCACATGCTGCTCATTTAATTGCTGATTTACCTTATGAGAGGATCGGAAGGGTAGGAACTTGAGAATGATGGCAGGTGTGAATTTGGTGGAGCAACTGGCTTTCTGCACATGAACGATTGGGATCTGGAGACAGAGGTCTTCTCCCGCTTGTGCCGCTGATTCTCCACGTGACTTCGAATAGAGTATTAAACTCCTCTAGTGTTCCATTGTTTACAAGGCTGGAGAGTGATACATTCTATCTCACTGCAGGGTGATTCCAAAAGTGTAAGGGTCTCCGTGAAAGCACTTTTTATAAATAACAGCACAGGGAAAGAGAAGATAGATTCTGATTTTTTTTCAGCTACAGTCTTTAGAAAGCTTGTCCACTGATTCAATGAGCATCTTCATTACACTGTGTATGTGTCTCTGTATCTGTGTGTTTGTGTGTATGCACATATGTACATATATGCTATGGCACCTGAGTGGAGGTCAGAGGACAACTTGTATGAATATATCTGTTTTTCCATTATGTACATTCCAGGGATTGAATTTAGGTTGCCAGTCTGAGTGGTAAGTGCTGTTACCTGAGGAGCCATCTTACTGGTCCCAGTCATGAGGGTTTTTTTTTTTTTTGTTGCTGTTGTTAATTGTGAAAAGATACTGAGAACTGAGAAAATTTTAACCTCACTTGTAGTGACCCCAAGTTCTTAGTACTCATAATGTGTTATTCCTTTTGAATGAGATATATTATGGCAGCTGTGATGAAGCATCATTTCTAATGTAAGATAGATCTATCTAAATATCTATCTATCTATTATCTGTTTTCTTTCTATCTAATATCTATTATCTATCTATCTATCTATCATCTATCTATCTATCTATCTATCTATCTATCTATCTATCTATCTATCT